TGCATAATGATATGAAGTTGGTATTCCTTGTACGTTCGGTGTATTGTCTATTAGTTTGTATTAATGTTGAATATTGTGAGCTTATAATTGGGTCAATAACTCCTTGAAAGTGTTTAAATTTCATAAGTTTCATTCGAGGATGAATGTTCCAAAATGGGGGATAATGTTATGACCCTCAAAAATAAATAGGATAAAACTAGAGCCACACATGAGTTTCGTGATTCAACAAATGCTTAATAAGGTGAGAAAAAACTTCTAACAGTTGGTTTAAAGAGGTTTGAGGTCAAACGTCAAACGACGACTAAGAAGTCCGGAAACTAGTGTTTTGTGTGCTAGTATGTCCTAGTATGTTTGCCTTGTTTTAAAGTGTTGTTTGGAGTCTAAAATGATAGGAGTGGACCCTAGTATCTAGATGGTAATTTTTAGAATCAAAACATCCGGGTAAGACTATTTAACGACCACCTTAAGGGTCCTTGAGGAGGAGTCAATTATTTGTCCAAGAAGCTTCCAAGACAGTTTCACCAACGACCCCTCTTGTGATGCCCCGTTAAAGGAGTGACGACCCGTTAATGGGTAGGGGGTGTGGATAAAAAAATATTCATGAGACCTTTTACCTCACTTTGTGGAGCCTAATTTAAGAACCATAGAGCTACAGGACGGTAGCGTCAAACCGCTTATGGTCTGTTGGTGGTGGTAAACAGCCACTGCCTGCTATCTGTCCAATGGTTTTGCCAACTAAGGGATGAAATTTTAAATTCACCCCACGTTTTAATTAAAGGGTGGACAATTAGTTTACCTATTTTAGGGTATTTTAAGTTAGTTAAGACATTGAAACCCCAAGTTAGAATTCATCCTTCAAATCAAACCTTTCCCTCAAAAACTAGATTCTCTCTAGAACTCCATTGGAGACCAAGTTCAAAATCAAGCTAGGAGATGGATTTCGAACATATCTATTCTTCAATTTTCGTGGGTCTTAAATCTATAATGTATTACAAATCTTGATCCTTGGATAGCTTTTTATTCAAGGAGTTCTATAATGATTTTCCAAAATGTTTCTACGATCAAATTTCCCAATTTTCAATCTAAACATGGGTTCATTGTAAAATGGTTTTCAAAGTCATTGTAATGACATAATTTTGAATGTAATTCCTTGAAGAACCCATGACATCCTTAATCTCCTAATTTAACCTATAAAGTGGGTTTTGTAATTTTGATTGGATATTAATGGAATTATGTTTAGATTGTAATGTATTGTTGAAAGATATTTCTATGTATATCTATTGATAATGAATTGTTGAGGATTCATCTATGATGATTATGGCTTTAAGAATTTGCAAGTTGACCTAAATTCTAGTCTATAGTATTGAAATTGATGTTGTTTGGTTTGGTCCACTTATGGTGGCAGTGTTAACTTCTTGTATATCATACATGTTGGGGTCATGGTATTGAGGGAAATATATGTCAAGTGGATTGCTATTATGATGATCATGAGTATGAAGGTTATGTTTGTAGTACTCAAATGTTAGTATCATGATTAAGGTGTGTTGATATGTGAAGTCTAATGTGAAAGACGATGATAAGGTAAGGTATGGTCTACATGCTTGATTGTGAAAAGTATTGTAACACTCTTGAAGTCCATGAATTGGACTAGATATAAGCCTATTGAATAATGTTTCAAGAACATTATTAATGAAATAAGCTCATTTAGAAAAGGTAAGAGCCAAAACGACAATCAAAGACCGTCACGTCCCGAAACTAGCTAAATTATAATAATTCACGTCCCTATGTTTGGTGAAGGTTTTAAAGTGTCAAATGTAGTCTAAAAATGGTAAAAAGATTTTGGATAGGTAGTACATACTACAAAGGGTCCAAATGTCCGGTAACGACACACCAAGGACCACCAGAAGGGTCCTTGGGGAGGACCCCAACATGGCTAGATAGGCTGCCAAAGTAGCCTACGCGAGCAAGAACCAGGGGGCTGCTGGGCGACGTGCAGCCCACACAAAGTTCACTGCCTCAAAATTTGGGAGGCATCCTCTTGACGTGAGTCTGTCATGAGGCACACTGCCTCGACCAAAAATTTAGAAAAAATTGGAATTGTCCCCTAAACACGCAACAACTTCCTAGTTTTATTAAAGTCGTACTTTTGGTAATTTAACTTCACAAAAAGACATATTTAAGTTAAGGGTCTTTTGGTTATTTTGTAGGACGACTATATATTGATTATAGGTTAGTTTTAGACCATTTTTTACTCAGTTAAACCCAATCAAACGAAATTCTCTTATCTCTCTCAAGAACGCTCGCTTTCCCAAACTCCATTGAAGAACAAGAAGAGTTTAAAGAAGAAGATGAAGACTTCAATTTTTTCTTCCAAAATTCATGGATTGTTCGTCAATAAGGTATGGCTTTTTCACTTTTATGATTCCTTTCCCCAAGAGGTCCTTTTAAATATTAATTTTAAGAAATTAAAATCCTAGGGTCTTTACCCTACAAAACGGGTTTCTCCCTAACTCTAAATTTATGACTATCGATGCAAAATAATGGTTTTCTATGGTTGATTTAGTATATATTGTCAAATGTTTGACTTTAAATGATTAAATTTTGTGAAGCATGTTCATATTAAATTGATGGTTCTGAATTGGGTTCACCTACTACTTTATAACATGTAATTGTTTTAATTGGGTCTCTGACTTGAATGAACTCCTAAATGACCCTTTCCCTTATTCTATTATACAAATTAGTCTTGTTTATGAGTTGAAAAGTTAGTATTGATTATTATGTTGAGTATTTTACTATGTTGTTGGATGGTTGTTGCATATTGAATACAAGTTCTTGAATAAGGATATTGGAAGCAAGAGGTAAGTCTTCTAAAGTCCTGATCTATAACGTTTATGTTAGCTTATAAATGATGTTACAATGATAATGAAATATGCATGATAAAGCTATGCATATATGTTGACCTATGAATATGTTAATTTATGAGATCATGATACGAATATGATAATGCAGGTTTATGATATTTTGGTTTATGCTTTACAGAAGATGATCTATGATATGTTAATCTCAAAAACGAAGGGTTACAAAAAAGGAAATCTCATGTAATCCTAAAGAGCTTATGATCATGTTTATACAAGGATTTAATCTTCTATGACTTCTGATAATATTTATGATAAATGATGACTTAAATGTTAATAAAAAGGGGACTTTAGCTTATCACCAAGTGAACTAGATATGAGAGGTGTCCCTTCCCTAGTTGGAATATAGGTTCACAATGACTCTTATGAGATAGAGGCTTCTATGTAATGTGGAAATATGGATCTCTAATACTTCTCCTAGTTCTTGAACTATGTTTCCACCATATGATACTAGATAGAAGATCCACCTAGAAAGTTATGACATGTTTGGTTCTACTTTGTCCGATAAACCACATTCTTTCGGTGTGGGTTTTTATTACAATGGGTTCCATGTTTAGTCAACATGGTCTAATATCGGTGAAAGAGAATGTTCCCTCAAGTAAAATGAAATACAAGTAAATGGAATCTTACTAGGGTTACTTGAAGAGTCAACTTAGTATATGTAGGAATATTAGACTATACGTAGACATTGCACACGTTTACTCTAAGGGAAGTCGTAGGAGATTCTTCATATGTAATACGATAACATGAAATGTAAGATGGTTATGATACATGTTGTTACTCTTATATATGAAGTTTGTTACGTTAATGAACATGTTATTGGTCTATATTGTATTATGAGGTGATGACTACTTATGTTACAAGTTATATGAAGCAAAGCTTTACTTATGGTCTCCAATCTTATCTACTTGGTTGTGTGGGGTTATTTAAATTTCAATGACCATTTCACTTATATGTTTGTAATTGAATCACTGGTAAGTGCTTTGTATGTTATGTCGATATGATATATTCAAATGAAATGTTAACATGACTCGAGGATAATATGTCATTGATTATGATCATGCTTTATGTTGATAAAATCCGTAACTTGTATATGTTCTATTTTATGTGCATTGAAGACTTTTATATGACTTACATGTTTTTCTAAGGAATGATCCTTTTTCATGCATGTCCTTAAATGTTATGTGCATATATCCATACATAGTGCATGTGGCATACTAAACCCATTACTTTATATTACTACACATGTAGGGTCGGGCCATTGAAGATTAGGAAGGTTGATTGAAGAATCTTGCAATTTTTTCTCAATGTATTTTTAGGTCCTCATGTCCGAGGATGCTATCTTTTCATAATTTTAGCTTATGAAAACTAGTAGTTTTAACAATATTATTTATTCTATTTTATCTCTTTGGATTCTATTGTATTAAGGACTATATGTCATATAGATGTTTTATTAACTAATTTCAACTTATACTCTTAAATGGTTTTTATGTGAGACAAGTTTTAGAATAATGTATGTATGTTGATATGTTTCTACAAGTAAAGTCTATGTAAGCTTCTATGTGAGAGGTCTAGGTATACCTCAATATGTACATAAGTTTGAAATTTTTTAATTCTTTAACAAATTTTAACTGATGACATGTTTTAACGAACGCTAAGGGATTGTGTGAGTCCTCTAAGAGGCCACCGCCGCCAGTCGTATATGGGGTCTCTCCGGATGTGAAAAATATGGTATCAAAGCATGAGGTTGAATATATTTAGGATCAATATCTTACTAAGATATATTACCTAGTGTCGTGTTCATCATTGTGAAGTGTGCCACAATTTTTTATGAGAGCCTATGTGAGGATTTGGAAAATTCTCTTTTCTTTGTAATCCTATGTCGTGCCTCTAAAGTTTTAGCACTATGTGTCTTTTAGCATCTTATCCCTTTGTTGTGGTTATTGGCGATGAACACAAGAAGTATAGCCGCGAGAAGAGTAGGAGAGGAGGTTGAAAACTGTGGGAGCAACTCCCCAAGGCAATCAAGTTCCTCCTCAAGTGCAAGCCGCTGTGAATGATCAAGTTCTAATCAATCCTCCAGCCATGACGGATGGTGAGGTGAGGGCACCCATGTTACAAATGGCCGAAGACATCACCACTCAAGATAAAGACATTACGATACAAGATAATAGAGAGGTTGTTACTCGAGAGAATCAACATGCTAGTACTATGGCTAGCCGTTTGACAGATTTTAAGAGGATGAATCCTTCTATTTCTCTTGGATCAAAAGTCTATACGATATTTTTTGCTATGGGGGTGAGTACTACTCAAAAGGTTGAGCTTGATACATATAACCTCAAGGACGTGGCTCAGACTTAGTATAATCAGTGGAAGGATAAAAGAGCTTCGAGAGGTGGTCCCATGACTTGGAATATCTTCAAAAAGGACTTTCTTGACAGATTCTTTCAAAGGGAACAGAGGGAAGCAAAGGTAGAATAGTTCATCCACCTTTGTCAAGGAGGTATGAGTGTCAAGGAAAACTCCTTAAAAAATTTATTAAGCTGTCCAAATATGCTTCCTCTTTTGTTTCTAATGATAGGGATAAAATGAGCCATTATCTAACGAGAGTGTTCGAAGAGCTTAAAGAAGAATGTAGTATAGAAATGCTTCATGACACTATGGATCTTTCTAGGTTGATGGATGCTTAACAGGTTGAAGATAATCATCTAAAGAAGAGGTACAGAGAAGCTAAGAAGGCTAGGTCTTTTGAAAGTGGTTCTTTTAATAATAGGCTTGATATGCAAGACAAGCCTCAGTTCAAGAAGAGGTTTTCAAATCAGGTTCCTTCTAATTTCTACAATAATTGCAATAATGGAGGTTCTAATCTTAAACCTCAAAAAGAGAGAAATGTTAATCCACCAAAAGAAAGACCAATTTGTGGTAAGTGTGGTGAGAAAGATATGGGCGAATGCCTTGTTGGGACTAATAGTTGCTATGGTTGTGGAAAGGTTGTCCATATTGTGAAAGATTGTCCTTATGTGAGAATTCAAGGCAAGGCAAATGGACAAACTCAATCAAGCGCTCCTAGTTTTGATGGTACAAAAAGGAACCTTTTTTATGAACTCAAGGCTAGCGGTGAACAAGAGATCTTTCCCAAAGTGGTGACGAGTATTTTAGAAGTTTTCAGTTAATGTTTATGTTATTCTTGATCTAGGTGCTACCCTTTCTTTTCATACACCTTTGATAGCTAGAAAGTTTGATGTACGTCCTTATGTTTTGATTGAACCCTTTTGAGTTTGTACCCCCATAGGTGACTTTGTGGTTGCAATAAGAGTCTATAGGAAATGTCCTATAATGCTGCCCAATAGAGTTACTCTTGTTGATCTTGTAGAACTTGACATGTTTGATTTTGATTTCATTTTGGGTATGGATTGGCTTCTTGCATGCTTTGCTTCCATAGATTGTAGAACAAGGGTAGTGAAGTTTCAATTCCCAAATGAACCCATTTTACAATGTAAGAGGGGAAGTTCTATGCCAAACGGTGAAATCATTTCTTGTTTGAAGATAGCAAAGGGTTTTCTATATCATGTAGTGAGGGTTAAGGACCTAGAATGTGAAACTTCATCTATAAAGTCAGTCCTCGTGGTGAAGGATTACCCAGAGTTTTTTTCTTAATGACCTTCAAGCGTTCCTCCCAAATGGGGAATTGACTTTGACATTGACTTTTTACCTGATACGAATCCCATTTCAATTCCTTCATATTGGAAGGCTCTGCCTGAATTGAAAGTGTTGATGCTCCAATTCAAAGATTTACAAGACAAGGATTTCATTCAACCAAAAATTTCTCCATGGGGTGCTGCAGTCTTGTTTCATAATAAGTAGTATGCGTCCCTTATAATGTGTATTCATTATCGCCAACTCAATAACGTCACAAATAAAGAACAAGTATCCTCTACCTCGGATTATTGATCTTTTTGATAAACTCCAAGGTTCTAGCTACTTTTCCAAGATTCACTTAAGGCCGGGATATCAGCACTTAAGGTGATAGGTGAAGATGTTCCCAAGAAAACATTCACAACTAGATATGGTCGCTATGAATTTCTAGATATGTCTTTTGGGGTAACAAATGCCCCGCCGGCGTTTATAGATATAATGAATAGATTTTTTCTGAGGTTACCTCGACTAGTTTGTGATTGTCTTCATTGATGAAAATTTTGATATACTCAAAGAATGAAAATGAGCATGAGAGTCACTTGTGGTTAGTTTTTCAAGTCCTCAAGGAACACCAACTTTACGCCAAATTTGGCATGGAATTTTGTTTGAGGTCGATTGCTCTTCTTGGCCATATTATCTATGATGAGGTGTAGAGGTTGATCTGAAGAAGAAGGATCCGAAATTAGCCTAGGCCTTTGACTACCAAATGTTTTACTTAAAAATATATGGTAGTAAAAAATGATTAAGTTTCGAAAAAATGAATTAATCTTTTATGATTTAAGAGAAATTAATTTTCCCAATTAACAGAGTTGTCACTTGATTTTTTAGTAAAACCAAGAAAACATTATTTTTCAAAAGATTTAAAACAGACAAAAATCATTTGAAAAGGGTTCGAAGTTCAAATGTACATTCTGAGAAAGGCTTAGTCCCTCGGAATTCCCGCTAACTTGCGGTTGACCGGCGATTTGATAAATTAACTTTCAAACAAGTTTTCGAATTTTTTAAACAAAAGTAAAAGAAAAATTATTTATTCATTTGCTTAATTTAATTAATATGTTATATTGAGGTAAAAATGAAATACGAAAATCACAAAAAAATGAAAATAATTAATATGTGCAAACAAGACCAATATATTAAAATAAAATCTAAGTAATAAACATATACAAAATAGATCAAAAAAAAAATTAATATAAGGGAAATTACTATTTTGGGAGTATAATTAAATCAACAAAAATTAATCAAATAATTTTAGTCAAAATATATTAATAAATATGGAGGAAAAAAGGAAATGTCCAATTTTGGTTTTTGGCCAAAATTCCTGCTAACGGACCTACTGGAAATTTCTTTGGGTCTTTGGCCTATTTTATGTCTAACAGCCAGCGTATACACTGATTGTATAGTGTAGTATATGGGATATATCCGATCTGTTCTGGACTTTTGGAACCTGTATTTTTATTTGGATTACGTATTCCTGCACTTCTACCTGTATTTTCCGTGATTTAAAACCTGTATGCTGTATATCCTGACTGTATATCGGCGTATACAGTCAGTATATCAATGTATCATAGTGTACATTCACATGAATAGAGTCCTTTTTGGACTATTCCAAGACACGTAAATCAGTCCTTGCCCCTGCAATTTCTCCTCTTTCACTTGAAAAGAATGAGGACGACCAAAAAAGTTTGACTCGGAGGAATGCAAGCGATAAGGAATTCGCATCCCGAAAATAATAAAGCAAAGATACTTCTAAAATTAAAACAAAGACTAGAGCAGCCCCCATACTAATAAACAAAAATAATTTGATTAAGCCAAATCATGCGACCATATGTACTATGGAATGTCAAAGCCTAAGTAATGACAATGACACAATAACGAATACTTATGCTACTGCTTTAAAATTTACAAGAAATCTCAAAATACATTGTCTCTAATAACGAAGAGAACACCTAAACAAATGCTACCTGTGAAGAAAGAATAATCAAAACTCCTTCATATTATACGGAACAACAAGGTTGATAGAAATCAACTTTGAGAACAAATAAACATGCTCAAATGGGATATGTTATCCACACACAAATAAAGAAACGAGCATCCAGCAAGAAAACTTCATCCTGAAATCAAGAGCTTGAATAACAACCAAGAAAAGTCAAACTTGAAAGCTAACCGAAACACGACTAATGTTCTTTGAAAAGAAACAAGAACAAATAAAAAACGCAGACCTGTTCAAGAAAAAAAAATCAATGTCATTAGGCAACCATATGGGCATGGCAGTAAGCATACAAACACCAGCATGCCACTGTCCCTTTTATTATTTTTTTAGCACTTTCTTTAGACTATAGGTAATAAAGAAAACATACTAAGGCAACGAGGGTATACCATGAGATTTAACACAAATTTTCGAACAAATGGGTATATATTCAAGACCAAAATAATGTAAAATCGACCTTCGAATGCCGTAACCTTTTTGATATAAGACCTAACAATAATCTCTCCCTGTATCAATGATATACTTCCGCTAGAAATCGGATTTGATATCATCTTGGAACAACAAAATCATTAGACGAGTCAAGAACGCAACACATGAACTTCAAACAATCATCAACCTCACAAATAAACTTCAAATTTGAATATCTTAATCAATTCGTTCAACTTGAGGTGAGAGAATGAATGATAAGACGCCGAATGTTGAACACCGATGTAGATTAGACTATAAGAAAAAAAGGCTCAAGAAGGAAGAACAACGAAATATCGCTTTAGATAATACCACATAGCCTTCTTCAACTCTAACCGGATACCATATCTACTTAAATGAATCAACAACATATAAGTCATACCAATATCTCCATTGAATTAACATTAAATAGATGAACAAACAGCAGAAAATTTCCAGCAACAAAGTGCTATTTCACAGAGAAAACGGAGGAGAAAAGGAGAGTATGTTATCGAGAAACGAGTTGTACCTTCTTCGTATAGAGAACCAGAGATAGGAATGAGCTTGGATAGACTTCAATATCTTCCTTTAAGATTCAGAAATCCAACAAATTTTGCAACAAATAACAAAAAAAAATAAATTATCGCATGTTTGTTATATGAATATTATAACCTAGTAATTCCTTTTCTTGTAAGTTCTTGCTAACAAAAATGGACTCAAAATCTTTCTACTTTTTGTAATATTTTTTCAAGCTAAAGAAGTTTTTTCCCTTTTCTCTCACTGATATTTATAGGAGAGAAAAATGGGAAGAAAATTTTTGGGCGGAAAATGGATGGGATTTGATTTCGAAATTCAAATCCCTCTTCAGCATAAGCTTCCAACTCTATCCTTGTACGATCATCAACAGAAAATCGAAGGGAGACATCCCATTTTAGAGGAAGGACAAGAGAGAAAGGGAGATTTCGACCTGGGGCCTTCGAGTACAATTTTCGTATAATAGGATAAGGGAGAGGGGAAGGAACCCGCCTGGCTACTGGAAAGCTTTACTTTACGCGTGAAGAAGAAGATGACACAGTAGATCGGTCGGAAGTTCGGGGTGGGTATGGTGAGAATGGGTTACTGGTTTCAGAGGTGGGCTGATAGATAGGTGGGTTGGGCCTTTACAGTGAATTGAAATGACATGGACTAGGAATCACTGAAAGTCTGGGATGGGCTCCTGAAAAACAAAGGGTCCAAATTCATCTAAAAGCCCATCTATCCAAATATTGGCCAAAGTTATTAAATTTAAAGATAAATTAATATAATTAATTAACAAGCTTTTTAATTTTAACGAAATAAAATAATCAACGTAGTCATAAAATAATTAATTTGAACGTAAACCATTACATAACTAAATTAATAATTAAATATTTTAACAAAATCAAAACTTTAAAGAAGAATTTCGAATAAACATAACACATAAAATCCATATATATTATGTAAATCCTACGTAATATCTAAGAATTATGAAAATTATCAGATTTATTTGGAATAACTTGAAAAGCCTTTTGAGCCTTAATGGAACCAATTATCTCAAAACGTTTGGGATTAAGAAGATCGTTAATAAATTAGTATCGGGGAAGTTCAAAATTGGGTGTCAACAACTGTCCCTCATATTACTTCGATTGATGGAAGAAATAAGAGAAAAATGAATTTGAACAAACCAATTTTGACCGACCACACATTCATCTTTTCGGCAAATCTTGTCATGGACTTTAGGAATAATGGCCGCATCCTGGTAATGGGTTTCTTATATATCTCATGCTATATGAGAATTCAGGCCACTTTTAGTTCGAATACACTAGATTTAACGCTCGATTTTGAAACAAATCAAAAGCCACCTAGATACCGAGTTACGAAGGTACCAAAATGATCGAGAATAAAATTCAAGAGAGAATGTTGGAACACAGCCAAGTTTTAACATTGAGTCCGCCTACATATCTTTAAACTTCAGGCATTAGGCTGTTTGTAGTTCGACTCGATCAGTTTAAAAGGGAATATATTATGCTAGATAACCTCTGGTTTTGGATAAGTGACGAATTAAACGGGTATGAAAGGAGGCTTGTAAACCTCTGGTTTTGGATAAGTGACGAATTAAACGGGTATGAAAGGAGGCTTGTAACCTCTTAGCCATGAATATGGTGCGCTCACATCCACAGGCAACAATATTCACAGACATAATTTCCAAACTCTTGGCGCACTGTCACTTAGATTTAGTTTCCGGTAGATCAAAATATCAAGATGCGAGACCGAAACAGACAAAACTCAAAGGAAAACCCACATGCCTTCTGATAGGGGTGTGGTTAGATTGTTGTGGAAGTCGCTCCTTTACTAGCTCCCTAAGAGTTTGACATTCCTCTTTGGACTGTGTCTCAGTTCACTTCTAAGAAAAAGTTTCACGTTGTGCTGTGTCCTTTTTGATGTCATTTGTACCTGTGGTTTTTTGGAGAATTCATCCTTTTGGATGCTCTCGACAAAGACTAAGATAAAACCTCCTCAGCTTAAAAATGCAATTAGGATGGCAGACAATGTCTTTTGACCATGTCGACACTCCATTGTTCTCCTTGATATTCGATGTCAACTCGATCGGTGTGATGTAAAGCAAATAAATCTTATGCCTGGTGTTTGCAATGTAATCCTCAATTAACTCTTCACTTGATGTCGAAATAAATAAATGCTGATGCGATGTTGATATTTCTTTTGATGTCAATGTACTCTTCATATTGATGTCAACATGAATGATAGATGATGCAGTGTTGACTCTTCTCTTGATATTGGTGTGCTCTTTGTGTTGTTTACTTTAATCAAAATAAAAGAATGCAGTTGATGACAACGGATTAATATTTCTCTTTGGATGCACGATTCCTTCTCCGGTAGTGCATGATTTCTTACGGGACATGAATATCTTCCCGTGATGCGTAAATTTGCGAGGTATGAAATCTTCTCGCGATGCATAATTTATATAAGGTATTAAATCTTCTCACGATGCATAATTTCTATGAGGTATGAAATCTTCTCGCGACGCATAATTTCTGCGAGGTATGACACCTTCTCGCGACGCCTAATTGTTTCGAAGATATGAAACCTTCTCACGACGCACAGTCTTCCGCAAGGCATGAGTGTTTACTTGCGATGCACGCTCCTTCACGATGCATGAGTATTGACTCATGATGTATGATTTTCTGTGATGCATGCGTATTGACTCGCGATGCATGATTTTCCGTGATGCATGCGTATTGACTCGTGATATATAATTTTCCGCGATGCATGAGTATTGACTCGCGATGCATGATAACGGCAAAACGTCTTCCGGTAATAAATTGTCTAGATCGATAATAAACTAGCTGACACCCTCTGAGTAATGCATAGTATCATATCCAAAATTATGATGCAAATGATGTCCATTGTAAATTTCATGTCATTGGAAATTAATTAAAATAAACAATTCATATTCCCAAGTCCCCGATGTAAGATATATAAAATATCTCTTGCTTCTGGGAAAACTATTGAGTTTGGGATATTTTTCGCCTCTTTTGACTTTGTCGTATTCATCCGCCGGAAAAAATTGCCTGTTTCAGAGCAAGGCTATTAACCTACGTTCACAGAAAAAATGTTAGTTTTAAAAATGAACTAATTTGTGTCGATTTCTTCAGCTATGCTTCTTGCCCTGCTATTTCTGGTTGATTTCTCGTTCTCCCAACTCTTTATAGATAAGACAAAATATTTTATGCCAAAACAAATGGAACATAAAAAGGAAAATAAACCAGTAATTTAAGAGGAATAAATTTTGAGAAATATTATCTAAAAAAAAGTCTCTACCAAGTCATGTCATATCAGGCTTAACAAACTTCTTTGAGTCTGATGCTTGGAGGTCTATCTGATTATTTGTGGTCGAGTTTTTCAGAGTCGCTCTATACTTGCAAAAAAATCCATGCTGAATTTTTGAGGCCATCCTCAAAATTTCTTTCCCAGTTGAAAATGGCGAAACAACATTAGTCTTGATTTGATGAGGAGGATTCTTCTTCTCAAGAATTTTAGAGTCCTTCTCAAAAATTCTATTCCAGTTTCTATTGTAAAGAGGAATAGAAATCTTACGGGAAATATGAACATACCTTTGTGGATCCTACGTATCCCGTCGAGGCAAGAATCAGGTCAAACGTAGTTCCCCCTCAAAGGTAACGAAATAAGAAAAACTACAAAGAAGGCCGCCTACGTATCTCATTCTTAAGAATTTAGGTCAAACGTAGTTCGTTACAAGGAAATATTAAAGGGGTATATTGATTGACCGAAGCCGACATAGGCCGCCTACGTATCACATTCATGAGAATTCAGGTCAGACGTAGTTCGTTACAAGAGGGGTAAAATTTAAACAAAACAAATACAAGCATACAAAATGATTGCAAGTAAACAACAAAAATGCAGACCGAAGCTTCACACTTAGTATCTCTTGACAGCATCCGATTTGATAGGTTTAGGCCATACGGTGCCATCAATCTCCGACAAGACCAAAGCACCTACAGATAATACTTTACGAACCATGGAAGGACCTTGCCACTTTGGTGTGAACTTTCCTTCGTACTCGTCTTGATGTGGAAAAATACGCTTAAAAACAAATTGGCCAACTTCGAAAACTCTCGCTCTTACTCTCTTGTGAAAGGCACGAACCATTCTCCGCCTATACAACTGACCATGACAAACAACAAGCTTTCTCTTCTCATCAATAAAAGTTAATTGATGAATCCGCTTGCTCACCCATGCGGCATTACTCAACTCAACTTCCTGGATGATTCTCAATGATGGTATCTCAACTTCAACAGGTATGACTGCCTCTGTTCCATATACAAGTAAGTTAAGCGTAGCACCAGTCGATGTTTTGACTGTCGTGTGTTATCACAGTAAAGCATATGGTAAAATCTCATGCCAACCTGTATGCTTGTCAATCATTTTCCTCAAAATCTTTTTGATATTCTTATTGGCAACCTCTACAGCTTCGTTCATTCAGGGACAATAAGCAATTGAGTTTCGATGCGTAATTTTAAATTACTCACATATCTCTCTCATCAAGTGACTGTTCACATTTGCACCATTATCCGTAATGATGGATTCTTACACCCCAAATCTACATATCAGATTGGTGCGAATAAAACCAACCACAACTTTCTTGGTTACCAACTTGTAAGTAGCTACTTCCACCCACTTAGTGAAATAATAAATGGCGACCAAAATGAATCTGTGTCAATTAGAAGCGGCTGGCTCTATTTGACCGATGACCTCCATTCTGCAAGCTATCAATGGCAAAGGTGAACTCATAACATTAAATTCGTGAGGTGGCACTCTGATCAAATTACCATGCACTGGACATTTGTGGCATTTTTGCAAAAATTTGCAACACTCGTTCTCCAAAGTCATCCAAAAAATACCAGGCTCGTAGGATATTTCTTGCCAAAGTGATCCCGTTCATATGCGTACCACAAACTCCAGCATGTATATATTTTACAAGCTTCACAAATTCAACAGCATCAACACATCTTACAAGACCCAAATATGGAGTCCTCCTATAAAGTACTTCTCCACTTAAAAAAATTGAGAGCCACACAGCGTATCGACTTATTTTGGTTGGACGTAGCATTTTCATGATAAGTTCCAGACTCCAAATACTTCTTTATATCAAAATACCAAGCCGAACTGTTTGGTTCTACTTTAACATAGGAACAATGGACTTGATGTTCTTTCAAATCCATATCCAAAAGAATAATATAATCTATATCCGGATGCTTAATCATCGAAGTGATGGTGGCGAGAGCATGGGCCAATAAATTTTGTATTCTGGGAGTATGTCTGAACTCGATCTTACAAACCTTTTGCACAACTTCTGTACGTATTGTACGTAAGGTATAATCTTAGGGTTCTTGATAACGCATTCTCCTTGAACTTAATGAATCAAAAGATTTGATTCTCCAATAACTAACAACTCATTGAAATTCATATCAATGACCATTTTTAAACCAAGAATACAAGCTTCGTATTCAGCCATGTTGTTTGTGAAATTAAATCGGAGTTTAGCCGCAATGGGATAGTGTTGACCAGATTCTGACACTAAGACTGATCTGATACCTTTACCTTGATGATTTTCTGCTCAATAAAAGAATAATCTCCAACCTGGATATGCTTCAGAAATATCCTCACACGTAAACGACACTTCTTCATCGTGAAAATAATTCTTAAGTGGTTCATACTCTTCATCAATGGGATTTTCTGCCAGATGATTAGACAAAGTATGTGACTTTATTGCTTTTTGAGTCACATACACCATGTCAAATTCACTCAACAACATTTTCCAATTGGCTAACTTTCTGGTCGACATCGCTTTAAGAAGATATAACTCAGTGGATCCATTCTGGAAATGAGGTATGTAGTATAGGAAGATAAATAATGTCTCTGCTTCTTGGCAATCCACATAAATTCACAACACGTTCTCTCCAACAAAGTGTAACGAGACTCGTATGGAGTAAACTTCTTGGTTATACAACAGATAGCCCTTTCCTTCTTTCCTGTCTCATCACGTTGACCAAGTATACACCCGAATGCACTATCTGAGACCGACAATTACAACAACAAAGGACTTCCCTCTCACGGAGGAACCAATATCGGTGGGTTGGACAAATAGTTCTTGATAGCATCAAAAGCATTCTGACACTCTTCAGTCACTTTGTCGTGGCATGTTTCTTCAACAGCTTCAAAATAGGCTCACACACCACGGTTGATTGAGCTATTAATCGACTGATGTAATTTAACTTCCCTAAGAAACTCATCACCTCTTTTCTCGTCTTTGGCAGAGGTAACTCTTGAATTGCTTTAATCTTAGAGGGGTCATGCTCAATACCCCTTCTACTTACTATAAATCCCAACAGCTTCCCGGATGCAACTCCAAAAGCGCATTTGGCGAGATTTAACTTCAAGTTATAACGACGCAAATGATCAAAGAATTTCCTTATATGTGTCAAGTGGTCAAAAATCTCGCAGGATTGGATTATGATGTCATCCACGTACACTTCAATATCCATATGAATCATGTCGTCAAAAATTGTCGTCATAACTCACATATAGGTGGCACCCGCATTCTTGAGACGGAACAACATCACCCTGTAGTGATATACACCCCAAGGTGTAATGAAAGCCCTCTTTTCCGCGTCTTTCTCATCCACCAAAATTTGGTGATAGCCTTCGTAACAATCCACAAATGACTGCATTTCATGCCTAACACAATTTTCAATCCAAATAAGAATATTCGGCAATGGAAAATTATCTTTCGGACTAGCTTTGTGGAGATCACTATAGTCAACACAAATCCTGATCTTTCCCGTCCTTTTTGGTGACTGGAATAACATTGGCCAGCCAAGTTGTATATTGTGTCACTTCACTTCCACCAAACGGAACTCTATCTGCTTGGTGATCTCTTCCTTAATCTTCAAACTCAGTTCAGGCTTGAATTTTCTAGTTTTTTGCTTCACCGGATGGAACCCCGGGTTAATCGGCAACTTATGAGATATGACATTGGTACTCAACCCTTGCATGTCACCGACTTCCAAGATGAACACATCAATATATTAAGTAAACAAAAACATTAGGTCTTCTTTCTGAGTTTCATTTAAGTGGATGCTGATGTTAATTTCTTTGATACATTTTGGATCTCCCTAATTCACTGTTTCAATTTCCTCTATATTTGGTTTATGCTGATTCTAGAACTGCCGAAATTCCTCGGTGACATAATGTGGTTCCCCACTTTCTTCTTCATAATCGTCAACCTAGTCCAATTGCCTCATTTTTTTCATATAGCTCATGTCATGACATGACGTTGGCAGGTCTGTAACTTATGTTACTGAAATCATTAATAGATAAAATTATGAAAGTAAGGTATAACAAACAACTATATAAATGAAGTAAAAAACAAAGAGGCTTTCATAATAATAATAATAATAAAAAGCAAACTTTGGCCATTAAATGGGGCCATGTTGCCTTTTTTGAACATCACAATGAAAATTTAAAAATTTGAACAGTTAAGAAAATGCAAAAATGGTGGGTCTTGGTCCTCTTCCGGACTACCACCGATTTTAATGTGCATGAAATAACGCCTTTCTACCGAAGAGTTCGGGGTATCAGGATTGGCGTGGAAGTCCAGTGTCGCAGCACCTCCCCTCGCTCAGCATCACGGATACCAGCTAGCTCGACCTCTTCCTTGACAACAGCATCTATCTCTTCGAGGAGGTCACAGAATCCTACAAAAAGGTCTTCATGCTCGGCATACTCTTAGATTGGAAAGGATTGATACAGATGTGCGATCGACCTAGTAAAGACTAGAGCATTTTTCTTCTTCACTTTCATGTCATCATCTGTGGGGATGTACCCCAAACCATATCTGAATCCCTTAACTAGGATCTGAACATGCTCAATAATTCCTTGGGAATCTCTTTCCAATCCAAACCCTGGCTAAAAATCATTCTGCAACATTACAATGGTTATCATCTTGTATATGACAGGCATGGGGGTCTATGGGGCCAGGTCATCACCAGTGGCATTCAGCAACTTCATCGTGTAAAACTATGTACCTCGCCAAAACTCATCAATGATTGACACCTGCCTACCAAGGTAACTCCCCTCTCCAGGAAAAACCAAGTCCTCATTCCTCCACCCAAGCTTCATCATCTGATGGAAAGTACACGGGACGGCTCCATCCATATGGATGAACGACCTTCCCAGAAGAAGGTTGTAACTGGTATCTATATCCAATACTTGAAATTGAACGCTGAACTCTACGGGGGCCATTTGAATGGCTAAAGTCACTGCTCCCAATGTGTCTCTTTGAACCCCATCAAAGGCTCTCACGTTGGCATGGTTTTTCTCCCATTTCCCGAGGTCAAACCTTAGCTGCCTAAATGTCGACAACGGGTAAATATTCAGACCAGATCCCTCATCTACTAAGACACGGTTTACAACCTTTTCACGGCATATCACAGTGATGTGCAGTGCCTTGTTATGTGATCTTCCTTCGATAGGCAGCTCATCGTCACAAAAGTTGATTCCGGGCCCTCGAATAACCTGATGAATCATGGCAGCCATGTTATCACTACTTGTACCTGCAGGTACGTATGTATCGTCGAGAGTTGTCATTAAGGCCTGGCTGTGGGGCAGAGAGCTCATTACATAGACCATACGTAGATCTGAGTCGGAGTCTTCTCTAAATGTTTGACGATGGAATAATCCTATGGTTGCATCCTTCTCCAGAATTCTTCTGCTTCTCTATCTCTTATCGTCCTCTTAGCCTGGTCCTTCTTCTCTCCTTTGAGAGCAAGCTCGTCAGGAGTGCAACACCATCCAAACCTATTCATACCTTGAGCAACAGAAGTTTCAATAACAAACTTAGGCTTGACGAGAGTTTCAGATGGCACCAAGGCAAACAACCTTTGTAGGTGTCAAAATAACAAACTCTCTCATTTATTTGACGCTTAAAGAAGCAGAAGCCCTTTACAAATCATCGTGAACAACGAGGTAATCATTTTCGTTCCACACCAGTCTTCATCTATCTCAATCATATTGACATTGCCGCCTCCATGATTCGGCAACGGGTTTGTGTTGACATTTGGTGCCGCCAGTTGGAAAGAGACAACCTCCTGATCAATCAAATCTGGAATTTTGTGCTTGAGGTTTATACAATCTTCAGTATCATGTCCAACACCGTTAGAATGCTAAGAAAATCTCTGATCGGGTTTGTAGAACATTGAATTGACATCCACGGGTTTGGACCCCACATGGTGGATGTATCCAGCTGCAACAATCCCTCATACAGTTTGGTCTCGCTTTCAGCGAGTCCAGTAAAGTTCCTTGAAGGCCTCTTCTCAAATCTAGGTCGGGGAGAGTCATAACCTCCTTGTTGAGGAGGAGGCACCTGTTGATAATTTCTGGTATTTGGAAGGGGAGATTGGCTTCTGTGATATAGATTT